GACAGAGCAAAACCAAGCAACAATGTATACCAAAACAGCAACAACATCAAGCCACTGACAAAGAACAAATTAAAATATACCAAGAAAGAAAAGCTTTTGTTTTCCAGTCTAGCCTGTTGGGGCACCATGCCCTGTCTCCAATGTCCACCCTCATCATTCCCTAAAAACTACATTTTCAAGCAAATATTAACTACTTAGGTAACAGGTATACACATAAAATACCCCCAAAATCTTAAGTAAAGTTGACATTACATAAGCAAATTTGTTCCAAATTTACTTTACCAGTTACACAGTATTATAATTCTTTATAGTTTTCTGTGTACATTTGCATGGCATTAAAAAAAAAAAAAGCCTCCCATTTATCCTAAGACAAGAGTTGGCAAACTATGATCTATAGTCCAAATTCAGCCAAGCACCTGTTTTCACGAAGCTTTTATTGGAATGCAGCCACACATCCAGGTACAAGCATTTCTGGCTGTCTCATGCTGCAGTGGCTGCAGAGTGCAGCAGCTGCAACAGCAACAGAAACCTATAGGCATCACTCTCTTCTCTTTGACCCACTACAAAAAAGTTTGCCAATCTCTGTCCAAAGATATTATTTTCCCTGACATCCAACTTTCCTATGCTTTACATCCCAAGAGATGTACTTACTGAGTTTACTCCTTGAATAGGCAATTAATTTATGGACAGACGACTAACAATAGCTTAACATAGAAACTTTACCATGTGTCAGCTTGTTCTGATTCTGGATCAGGTGCACATGTTGTGGCGTTTCCTGTGACCCTTGGCTTTAGTTTTTCATCGAATGACCAACCTTGGGAAAGGCTTGGCCCTGGAGCCGTTGGTTTTAATCCTGTAAACAACACAAGTGAAAAGAATTACCACTGCAAGAGGAGCAATAGTCACTTACAGTGGTTACACTATAAAAGAATTAATGGGGAAGCAAAGCACACACTTAATGAAATAGCCTAAGAACTGTCTATTGGCTTCTAAGGTGGGTCAATTTAAAGCCAATCATATGCTTGTGGTAAACATATGAACTTGAATTAAAATAAAGTCAACTTACATTTTAATTTAAGTTATACCTTAAGTCAGTAAACAAAACAACTACAATTTCTCCCTACATAGAGCAAAATTAAGTTTTTTTTAAAGAGAATATGCTATTTGAACCGAAGCCATTTAATGATTTAGATATACATATTGGGATGTAGACAACCATAATGATTACCTCATCATTTCATTTACTGAAATCGTGTCTCCGTTCAAGTGCCAGCCTCCTGAGCGATCTGATATCTCACATGTTGAATTAGGTCACCCTCACTGCTGCGCCCGACCCTCTCTGTGCTTCACTCTGGGAACACACTCATCACTACCAAGGTATATAAGCGTCATCTGCCTTAGTTTTCGTGTCTGTACAATTGAGGCAATTACAGTGCCTTCCTTGTAGGGTTGTTTTGAGGGCAAATTGAAGCAACATACGGATGGAGAGGGGAGCGAGTGTGTGTACGGAGGGTGTGGGGGGGGCATATGAGGGTGTGTGTGTGTGACCCCAGTCTGATGGTGATCTTGTGTTATAGAGATTTTCTGGCTATAAACTTTTAAACTTTATGGAAACACTGCATCGGGGTCTTTTCCCACAAAGCTGCTGGGAAGGAAACCAATTATTTCCACAAGCTTACGCTACACTTGCCATGAGTTCACATCAACTCGATGGCAGTGAGTTAGGTTTTATACTTGCATGTTACTTTCCCTTTGGACTGCAGTCTGCATGAGAAGAGGGACTGAGTCTTGTTCGTTTCTACAACTTCAGTGCCTACACCAATCATTTGACAGATAGCAGATATGAGTAAATTAATGGAATTATAGATTTTTAAAGTGGCAAAAATGTTCAAATGAGCATTTCATTTAGCATCTCAGCTAAATTTGTCAGTGTTATGTCTTCACGACGCAGGTTGTACTTAATAAATGTTCATCATAGATTCCAAATTCAATTCCTTAAATTACATCGACCATTTTCCTTGTAAGCCCACTTTAAAAGTTTATTGGCATTTCCTTAGAGACACCTATCCCTACAATTCATTTCAGCTTATGCAGGTATTTGCAAAGGATAATAACACATGCTTACAGAATCACTAAAAGAAACATCTATGAATCTAACATCCAGAATAATGCATTTGTTAATAATAAAATATTGACAATGTTCTCCTTCGTAAAAATACCAGGAGGGTGGGGAAATGATTGGATCTGCTTACCGTTTTATTCTAAGCACTAAGCATAGTTATACACTAAGCATAACAACTGCTCAGTGGACTTATGTTGAATAATCACGTGAATGGACATGGAGAACAAATGTGTGGTGCATAGGAAGACAGACATGCAGTCAAGTCTGCTGTGTTCTAAAATTGTAAACCAGAGACTGTAACTTGGAGCCCATGCAGACCAACTTATGAATATGTGCAAGTCCTAACACTGCTATATTATAGTATCTCATTTTACTCACCCATTATGACCTTCCTTCTAAATGGAAAGATACAATAGAACAAATATTGTCCTGTGAGTCAAAACCATTGAGCTTAAAAAACTAGCTCAGTCATGAAAGAGATTTGCAATTTCACCTGCACTCAGCCAATATTGTTCACTCCTTATGTTTTCATAGAATGACAGAAGATCTCTGAGACGCTGTCAGCCATACATACCATTCCAACAGTGCACGGCTAAATTCTATTGGCTCACGCTAACAGAGATAGTCTTGTGCCCCAATAGAAATCAACCGTTGAGTTCATTCTGAACCATCGAGACTCTATACTAGGATCCCGGGAGGACATCTTTACAGGAGCAGATCTTTCTCCCGTCGAGCAGCTGGTGGGGTTGAACCACACACTTTGCAATTAGCAGCCCAACGTCTAGCTCACAGTGCTAACAGGGCTGCTTTTTGTACCAATAACTTTGTTCAATAAACAACACGCAGACCTCCTATAAGTCAATGATACACCTGTTGCTGCCAGAGGAGCCAAAAGTACAAACAATTTATGCCCAGATAGCTGAGAAAGGAATGGAAAGTGGTTATACTGCATAGTAAGAAGAAAGACAATATATACCTGGAGTACATATGTCACTTAGCGTATATAACCAAAAACTTACTGTCATCGAATTGATGCTGACTCACAGTGACCTTATAGGACAGGGTGGAACTACCCCTTGTGAGTTTCCTAGACTGTAACTCTTTACGAGAGTAGAAAGACCCATCTTTCTCCCAGGGAGTGGTTGGTGGTTTCAAGCTGGTGACCTTGCGGTCTGCAGCCCAATGTATAACCACTATGCCACCAGGGCCCTTTACACTAGAGTATAGAAAACAATGACTTGGAGGAATCATAGAGGGAGAGCAAATGACTTACAAAAATCTTCACGATGGAGGTGAGAGCATGTGTGGAATGAGTCAGCTTTTGATAAGCAAGTTTGACAATCTAGGAACAGGGAACATGATGAAAAGTCAAGGCAGGTAGGAACTATATATTCTGTAGGACAGCATACAAAAAATAGAGGAGGCTGGAAGGAGTTAGGAAGCAGCTAAATTGTTAAGGGCTTGGGAATCAACGTAAAAGGGTTATGTGCTTACTCTGCAGCTAAGGAAAACCAGTGAAAGTGTTTGCAAGAACATACGGTGACTCTAAGTGGCACAGTGTATTATAAAAATGAGTTTGGAGGTAAAACCCTTACGTGATGAAGATAATTACAACAGCTGCAGAAAAGATGACTACCCTCCCTAAGCAATCTCAATGTCACTGGGCCATTCTGACTCATGTCAAAGTTTAAATGAGCAGTGGCTGTAGAAGGTATGATAGCTGCCCTTTTGAGCAGATGCTGTGGAGGGAGAATTTCAGATCTTGGTGATTAAAAGAACATGAAAGAAGAAATTAAAAAATAACCAAAATGCCTCTTCCATTTATATACAAGAAGACTTGTATATAAATTACCACAGTTCAGTTAGTCTGTGGCCCTTAGAGGAATTAGTAGGAGGCAGTGACAAAAAGTTCATGGAAAATGGAATGAAAAAATAATGGAATTTTTTCAGGAACTTCATTAAAGCCTCCTCACTTGAGAAACATAAGCTTAGAACAAAAAAATAAACATAACAAATCCAAAATGCCAAGGTCACATCACAGAATAGTTTGTATTATGGAGCATGACTTTTCCTTAAGAATGTTTCTATAGCACATATCTAGGTAAGAACTAATTTTCTAAAGTGAAACAAAGCATCACTTCCCTCAAAAGGTGTCTGGTAGAGGGGAGAGTGACTGATTTAGAGCCAACAATTTAATTTGTTTTTATAAGGGCTTTTGTTGCTGCTGTTGTTAAACTCTGAATTTGTTGAGATTCTCTTTTTCCTAAACCAAAATAGAAACCCACTGTCAATAAAACAATGAGAGCACACACTATTTCTAAAGGTTTTATACATCTCTAATGGGCCAAGAGAGCAGTTTTTCCAAGGCTGCTGCTCTCTCAGTGTCCACATTAAAGCAGGGGTTTCTCTAAGGCTGCAGGTTGGTCCTTAGCTTCAGACTCTTAGGATGAATTTTGGGAATATAAATGATAGATTTCTGGGAAATATTCATATCATAATCTGACCAAAAGAAGTTTTCTGTTCATCTATGGAACTTCACAGACTTTCCGTGCCTGTATTTGAAAGTTACCTAGGCCTAGACACAAACATACTCGTGTAGTCAGTGGGAAAGGGTAGCTATATCAGGTGAACAAGCATTCCCATCTGAATGATATAAAACTAGTACAACAATTTTTTAAAAAATATCTAGCCCCCCATATCTGTTCCGTCACCCCATATCATCAGTTCTTAACTTCACCTTTCAGAGCATTAACCAATTGTACTGCAGCATAATCCTATCACAGTTTGGGCTTGAGAGTCACTTGTATCAACTACTTGCTACGGGATCTTGGACAGATCTCTTAACCTCTCCAAATTTCAGTTTCCTGACATGTAAAATGTAGACAATGTCGTCTATTATAAAAGGATTGTTTTCTAGATTAAATTTGGTGATGTACATAAAGTAATTACCCCAGATCCTCACATTCAAGAGACAGCAGTTATTATTATTACTGATTTAAATGTTTAATCAATCCCTGATGATTAAAGCCTTGATCCAGTCCTTCTAAAAGCTAGCATAACACATTTTTAAATTAATATGGATTAACAAATCAATGTAAAGAAAACCAAAAGGCTCACAACTGGACCAATACATGACATCATAATAAACAGAAAAGATTGATGGTGTCAAGGATTTCGTCTTATTTGGATACACAATCAAGGTTCTTGGAAGCAGCAGCCCAAAGATCAAAGGATGCATTGCACTGGGAAAATCTGCAGCACAAGACCTCTTTAAAGAACAGAAAATAAAGGATGTTACCCTGAGGACTACGGTGTCCCTTGCCCAAGTATTTTCAATTGCCTCAGATGCATGTGAAAGTTGCACACTGAGTAAGAAAGATCAATGGAGAATCAATGCATCTGAATTACGGTACTGGCAAAGAATACGGAAACGACACGGCCTGCTAAAAGAACAAACTAATCTGTTTTGTTAGAAGTACAGCCAGAGTGCACTTTTAGAGACAAGGATGGCGAGGCTGTGTCTCATGGACTCTGGACATCGTGTCAGGAGAGACCAATTCTAGCAGAAGGACATGATGCCTGGTCAAACAGAGGAAGGCTCTCAATAAGATGATTAACACTGTGCTGCATCCAGGGGCTCTAACACAGGAATACTCCTGAGGATGGCACAGGAACAGGTGGTGGTTCGTTCTGTTGTCCTTAAGGGTGTTATGAGTCAGAACTGACTCCATGACTCCTAACAAGAAGCAACCAGGATTGCCGAGTACTGTCATTCAGGTAGCGCATGGCCAACCTCCTTGCGCGCCTCAAAAGATGGTCATGTGAAAGACACTCCTTGGAGGACACAGTGAGGTGGTCCTGTGTCTTTTTTAGCAAGGTCCAGTAACTGTTAGCAAAATCACTAAAGAAAGAACCTAGAAGTACATGCATATAGGAATACAGGTGGATGCTTGTGGTCACTAGGCAAAGAAAATTTATCATGGAGAATAAATGTAAAAATCTCTATGGTAAAACATCTGGAAAATGTAGCTGAAAGAACCATGTCTATCAAGGCAGTATCAGCTTATTTTCAAGCTCGGTACAGGAGTGTTTTCTATATGAGAAAGAGACTAACAGTACTGTCTATACTGGCATTCCTGAAAGGCAACTCGGAGATGATTATTATATGCATTCTTCATTTCTGTAAGTGGCCCCACCATCTGCCCACTTAGTCCATGCCAGAATGCAAGAGTTGTTTCTGATTCCCTCACAGCAATGCTCGCCAGGTCTAATTCCAAAACAAACCCTGGGTCTGTTCCATTTTCCTGCACCTCCAGTGTCACTTGGTCCAAGGCATTAGGCTTTCTCTCATTAGTACCCTTTCCTGGGTGGGACCAGAAGCCTAAAGATTGGCAGTGGGAACCCATCCGCTAGGAGTGTGGAAGAAAAGGCCTGGGACCTGCTTCTGTAGATTCCCACCCACCAAGAAAACCTCACCCAACTGTATTCTGTAATACGTGCAGTTGCCTTGAGTCAAGATCAAATCCATTACAGCTGCAGGATAGTCAACTCAAATACAACAATGGAATATATGGCCACACAAAAGCCAGAGGGACCTGCTCCTTTTACCACTCACATCCTCACCTGCCTTCCTTATTCTGGTCATCTGGGACACAGGAGATGCAAATGCCGTATCCTGTGAGACCTTCCTTGACCACTTCATTTAAAATAACTGAAACCTCGTTTCCCCAAAAGTAAGACATCCCCCGAAAATAAGACCTACTTACAGTTTTGCCTCTCACTGAAATATAAGGCATCCCCATGAAAATAAGACCTCCCTGAAAATAAGGCCCCCCAAAGCTTTCTGAACTCTGGACCGCAGCGGCCACGCAGCTCACTACTGGCCGCAGCGCAGCGAGAGCAGACAGGAAGTGTACCGTATTCTTCTTCATGGAAAAATAAGACATCCCCTGAAAATAAGACCTAGAGCATCTTTGGGAGCAAAAAATTAATATAAGACACTGTCTTATTTTCGGGGAAGCAGGGTACATAGCCAGTCACTGCTGCCAGTCTCTCTCTTTATACCTGTCCCTCCCATGGCGGCTGGGACCTTGTACCTTTACAACTCTGAGAATACTGCCATGTACGCGACAGCCACAAGTATTTATTGAACAGGTAAATAAATAGATCCATCAGTGTTCAAAGAAAGGGGAACATAATTAATCCTGGGGAAAGTAATGTGCATATATATAACCCATAACAATTTCTAGAACAAAATTACTAACGAATGAATCATGTTTTCATTACCTGTACTGGGCCGGCCCAGAGGATCACAGTAGTTCTCCGTATTCATGAAAATAACGGCCAATCCAATTTCTGACTCAGGAATAGGTCTATGACCCTTCCTATTAGAAGAAGACAGTTTAAGTAGACTGGCA